CTGCCTCCGGCACTGCAGGCTAACCTGAGAACCACCTCCAGGATCCCCCCATAGATTGCCAGCAGTCCCCATGTTGTTTAACTCAATATATTAATAAAATGACACTAGTTCAAGAGCTGTTATTTCCTTCTCTGCGCCAGGTTTATTATTAAAAGGGTGACGGTGAGGGAGAAATCCAATTTGTGATATCGGGGGTTTGGGGGAGGTAGTTTTTCTTCACGTAAACTATTTGCATTCTGGGGTTTGCCTCTATAAACTATCAGAGCAGATAACTTAAGAGGATGAGGCGGAAAGACCTAAAGCAGTTTAAAGCCCTTAATTAGTAGATTAAATTGAAGAGGAAGGTACACTGTTTGTTAGTCTCTTAGTCGATCTGTTGTATTAAAATTAATTTCCATCATTAGGTAACAGAAAAAGAGAATAAAAGGGGTTGGTCTAAATTTCCTCTCCTTTTTATTACGTGAAGGATTAAGAGACTTCCTTAACCATTTCCATATTTTCCCAGTAACGTATCCGTTCTATCCTGTATTCTGATGTTACAGGATAAAGTTTCTGCCACTTCACTTTCCTATTTTCTCATCAGCACGCCAGAATGAAATGCTTACCAAGAAGTAATTCCTGAAGCCTACAAGCACTAAACAATCTTTCTGAATGTTCTGTACTCGCAGTCTGATCAGGATACACTGTATAGTAGGTTCCCAAGTAAGTACTATTGCAGTGGGTGTTTAAAAATTGGCACCATAAAGCTTCCCTTCCTCACAGGGTATTTTGTATATAAATGAACTAAGGTAGCCAAAGTGCTTTGAGCTCCTCAGATGAAAGTGTTTTAAGGGCAAAGCATTATAATTACTAAACATAACATCAATGAATGGGAATAAATCAATATATATAATTAATTATATATATATATATTAATATATTATAATTAATTCCCTCTAGTACTGATGCAGGCTTGGCCTGTAACCAAAGCAGCTGTCTTGGGGGATTCTCTGCATGGTATTCCCACTTAACTACACTAGAAGACGACACATATCCACTTTTAGGCCTTTTATAATGTTTGCATGGACAAAAATAGTGGAAGAGGCGAAGACAGGGGAGGAAGATGTGGGGGGGAGAGAAGAATAAAAACCAAAAAAAGAAAAGCAGCCTAGGCAGCCTGGAAGTCAGAAAAAGCGAGCTTCCTGCAGCATAGCTCCGGGGGGTGCTTTCTAAATCTCTCAATAGTGATTCAAAGAGCCAGCGCTTACTGGAGGAAACCAGGTTAAAGAGATTATCTGAGTTTGCAATTGTATATTGGTTTGGTTATTCTACGTGCTGCTTCTGCTGTCCATTTCTATTCCAGAGACGAGCCAAGAAGCTCCACTTTGTTTGCTACAGCTCTGGGAAGGGAAGCGGCTGGCTTTTATCAATACCATAATGCAAAGAAGTCCAAGCTCTCTCCAATTTAAGTTCAGTGCTACATTCCCCCCCACGCCCACTCCTGTGGAAGTATGCATCTTTCAAAACAGTTCCCAATGTTCGGTATAACAGGCATTGCAATGTATTCCGCAGCGACCCACTTGGGACCATACTCCTTGGATTAACAAAGAGACTGGTTCTTTGCTGCTGCCTGCTCACATGTACAGCTCAGTTTTCCACTGATCATTCATTCCAGTGAATGGCCAGAACATTATCAAGTATGTCAGACAGCACGACTGGAGCAATGGATTCATGGTACATCTGGCATGTTGTTTGACATAAACAAGTTAAACAAAACATCAGCATTCTGCAAGTCCGACCTTTCTTAGAGCTTGTCTATGTGGTGAGATAGCGCGCAGCAAGCGTAGTGTAAATCTACAATGCTCTAAGGCAAGGGTGGGCAAACTTTTTGGCCCGAGGGCCACATCGGGGTTGCGAAACGGTATGGAGGGCTGGGTAGGGAAGGCTGTACCTCCTCAAACAGCCTGGCCCCTGCCCCCTCCCACTTCCCGCCCCCTGACTGCCCCCCCCAGAACCTCCAACCCATCCAACCCCCCCCCGCTCCTTGTCCCATGACCGCCCCCTCCCGGAACCCCCGCCCCAAACCTCATCCCCAATTGACCGCCCCCGCTCCTTGTGCCCTGACCACCCCCTCCCAGGACCCCCGCCCCCTAACCCACCCCCATCCAACGCCCTCTGCTCCCTGTATCCTGACCCCCCCCAAACTCCGCCCCATCCAACCGCCCCCTGGGCCCTCCTGCCCCTTATCCAACTCCCCTCCCCCCCGCCCCATTACCATGCCACTCAGAGCGGCAGGACAGGCTTACTGGAAAGCCTGAGAGGTGGGCAGGTGCAAGCCGTGCTCCAGGGGAGAGGGGGCAGCAGGGGAGGGGCCGGGGACTAGCCTCCCCGGCCGGGAGCTCAGGGGCCGGGCAGGATGGTCCCGCAGGCCGGATGTGGCCCGTTGGCCGTAGTTTGCCCACCTCTGGTCTAAGGTGCTGCACACTAACTGGCCATGTGGACCCTGCTGCTGTGCACTAAAAGTTCCCTAGAGCTCTTTGTCCTATTGCTGTGCGCAGCACCCTGGAGCACTGTAGATGTACACCTCAGCTTGCTGTGCACTCTGTCACCACACACGCCATTAATGTGGTATGTGGCCATCTCAGCCTGAAAGACAAGTTAAAGCCTTAACAGAGAGCACCCCGTAAGATTCAGAGAGTTCAATAAAAAGAACAGAAGTACTTGTGGCACCCTAGAGCCTAACAAATTTATTTGAGCATAAGCTTTCATGGGCTACAACCCACTTCACTGGATGCATAGAATGGAACATATAGTAAGAAGATATATATATACACATACAGAGAAGGTGGAAGTTGCCATACAAACCGTAAGAGGCTAATTCATTAAGATGAGCTATTATCAGCAAGAGAAAAAAACTTTTGTAGTAATAATCAAGATGGCCTATTTAGACAGTTGACAAGAAGCTGGGAGGATACTTAACATGGGGAAATAGATTCAATATGTGTAATGACCCAGCCACTCCCAGTCTCTATTCAAACCCAAGATAATGGTATCTAGTTTGCATGTTAATTAAAGCTCAGCAGTTTCTCATCTGATGAAGTGAGCTGTAGCTCACGAAAGCTCATGCTCAAATAAATTGGTTAGTCTCTAAGGTGCCACAAGAACTCCTTTTCTTTTTGCGAATACAGACTAACACGGCTGTTCCTCTGAAACCTGTCATTGGAGTCTGTTTTTGAAGCTTTTCTGTTGCAAAATTGCCACCCTTAAGTCTTTTACTCAGTGGCCAGAGAGGTTGGTGTTCTCCTGCCAGCTTTTGAATATTATGATTCCTCATGTCAGATTTGTGTGCATTTATTCTTTTGCGTAGAGACTGTCTGGTTTGGCCAATGTACATGGCAGAGGGGCACTGCTGGCACAAGATGGCGTATATCACATTGGTAGATGTGCAGGTGAACGAGCCCCTGATGGCGTGGCTAATGTAATTAGGTCCTATGATGGTGTCACTTGAATAAATATGTGGACAGAGTTGGCATCGGGCTTTGTTGCAAGGATAGGTTCCTGGGTTAGTGTTTTTGTTGTGTGGTGTGTGGTTGCTGGAGAGTATTTGCTTCAGGTTGGGGGGCTGTCTGTAAGAGAGGACTGGTCTATCTTCCAAGATCTGTGAGAGTGAGTGATCATTTTTCAGGACAGGTTGTAGATCTCTGATGATGTGCTGGAGAGGTTTTAGTTGGGGGCTGAAGGTGACAGCTAGTGGCGTTCTGTTATTTTCTTTGTTGGGCCTGTCCTGTAGTAGGTGACTTCTGGGTACTCTTCTGGCTCTGTTAATCTGTTTTTTTCACTTCAGCAGGTGGGTATTGTAGTTGTAAGAAAGCTTAATAGGGATCTTGTAGGTGTTTGTCTCTGTCTGAGGGATTGAAGCAAATGCGGTTGTATCTTAGAGTTTGGTTGTAGACAATGGATCGTGTGGTGTGTCCTGGATGGAAGCTGCAGGTATATAGGTAAGTATAGCAGTCAGCAGGTTTCCGGTATAGGGTGGTGTTTATGTGACCATCGCTTATTAGCACAGTAGTGTCCAGATAGTTCAACGTTGCTGAGTGATTGTGATGCATGGCTAGAAAGGGTTAAACATCCTGCAAAATAAATAACCCTCAAAAAACTCCTGGGCAGATTATGTTTGTGTTTTTGTGTATTTACATAGGTATGAGTAGGGTAGACAATGTAATCAACAGTCACTGTCTATGCTGTATTCTGATAATTCAGAGGTCAAAAGATCATTTAAATGAATTGTAAACACAGGATATCTTGGTATTCATCTCTCTTTGAAATGTACTGTGAATGGTGGAGAAACAAGCAAATGGCCTTATGTTAATTTGTATAGTTAAGTACCGGTGATGGACCTCCTTCAAAGTCATCCTAATTACCTTTTGTTCCCCAAGGAAATCCCAACTTGTCAAAGAGGACATGATATTGTATAAAAGATCAGTGAGTCCTGATTCTGTTATCTCAGATTTGCTTAGACTTCATCGGGGAAGTTTGAGTCACAAGACTGAGGTCCCAGTTATGCTGGTATGCCCTGAATATGAGATTTGGACATTGGACTATGACTTATGAACTCAAGTCTAAAGGAACTCTTTGCAACTACAAAGCTTTATGGGGATTGTCTGCCCCATTCTTTGCAGTTGAGTGACTACAGCTGGCTCCCCATTGGGACCCCGGTCACAGTGATACAGGCATCTCACTAAACCCTCTCTTGGTCTTAATAACTAAGCCCTGGTCTACACTAGGACTTTAGGTCAAATTTAGCAGCGTTAAATCGATGTAAACCTGCACCCGTCCACACAATGAAGCCCTTTATTTCGACTTAAAGGGCTCTTAAAATCGATTTCCTTACTCCACCCCTGACAAGTGGATTAGCGCTTAAATCGACCTTGCTGGCTCGAATTTGGGGTACTGTGGACACAATTCGATGGTATTGGCCTCCGGGAGCTATCCCAGAGTGCTCCATTGTGACCGCTCTGGACAGCACTCTCAACTCAGATGCACTGGCCAGGTAGACAGGAAAAGAACTGCGAATTTTTGAATCTCATTTCCTGTTTGGCCAGCGTGGCAAGCTGCAGGTGACCATGCAGAGCTCATCAGCACAGGTGACCATGATGGAGTCCCAGAATCGCAAAAGAGCTCCAGCATGGACTGAACGGCAGGTACGGGATCTGATCGCTGTTTGGGGAGAGGAATCCGTGCTATCAGAACTCCGTTCCAGTTTTCGAAATGCCAAAACCTTTGTGAAAATCTCCCAGGGCATGAAGGACAGAGGCCATAACAGGGACCCGAAGCAGTACCACGTGAAACTGAAGGAGCTGAGGCAAGCCTACCAGAAAACCAGAGAGGCGAACGGCCGCTCCGGGTCAGAGCCCCAAACATGCCGCTTCTATGATGAGCTGCATGCCATTTTAGGGGGTTCAGCCACCACTACCCCAGCCGTGTTGTTTGACTCCTTCAATGGAGATGGAGGCAATACGGAAGCAGGTTTTGGGGATGAAGAAGATGATGATGATGAGGTTGTAGATAGCTCACAGCAAGCAAGCGGAGAAACCGGTTTTCCCGACAGCCAGGAACTGTTTCTCACCCTGGACCTGGAGCCAGTACTCCCCGAACCCACCCAAGGCTGCCTCCTGGACCCAGCAGGCGGAGAAGGGACCTCTGGTGAGTGTACCTTTTAAAATACTATACATCCTCAGATGCTATTGGATAATAGGTAATAAAAGCAAGCATGTGAAAGGATTACTTTGCCCTGGCATTCGCGGTTCTCCTAGATGTACTCCTAAAGCCTTTGCAAAAGGTTTCTGGGGAGGGCAGCCTTATTGTGTCCTTCATGGTAGGACACTTTACCACTCCAGGCCAGTAACACGTACTCGGGAATCATTGTAGAACAAAGCATTGCAGTGTATGTTTGCTGGCATTCAAACAACATCCGTTCTTTATCTCTCTGTGTTATCCTCAGGAGAGTGAGATATAATTCATGGTCACCTGGTTGAAATAGAGTGCTTTTCTTCAGGGGACACTCAGAGGAGCCCATTCCTGCTGGGCTGTTTGCCTGTGGCTAAACAGAAATGTTCCCCGCTGTTAGCCACAGGGAGGGGGGAAGGTTGAGGGGGTAGCCACGCGGTGGGGGGAGGCAAAATGCGACCTTGTAACGAAAGCACATGTGCTATGTATGTAATGTTAACAGCAAGGATTACCCTGAAAGAGTGTAGCCACTGTTCTATAAAATGTGTCTTTTTAAATACCGCTGTCCCTTTTTTTTTCTCCACCAGCTGCATGTGTTTCAATGATCACAGGATCTTCTCCTTCCCAGAGGCTAGTGAAGCTTAGAAAGAAAAAAAAAACGCACTCGCGATGAAATGTTCTCCGAGCTCATGCTGTCCTCCCACACTGACAGAGCACAGACGAATGCGTGGAGGCAAATAATGTCAGAGTGCAGGAAAGCACAAAATGACCGGGAGGAGAGGTGGTGGGCTGAAGAGAGGGCTGAAACTCAAATGTGGCGGCAGCGTGATGAGAGGAGGCAGGATTCAATGCTGAGGCAGCTGGAGGACCAAACCAGTATGCTCCAGTGTATGGTTGAGCTGCAGCAAAGGCAGCTGGAGCACAGACTGCCACTGCAGCCCCTCTGTAACCAACCGCCCTCCTCCCCAAGTTCCATAGCCTCCACACCCAGACACCCAAGAACACGGTGGGGGGGCCTCCGGCCAACCAGCCACTCCACCACAGAGGATTGCCCAAAAAAAAGAAGGCTGTCATTCAATAAATTTTAAAGTTGTAAACTTTTAAAGTGCTGTGCTTAAAGTGCTGTGTGGCATTTTCCTTCCCTCCTCCACCACCTCTCCTGGGCTACCTTGGTAGTCATCCCCCTATTTGTGTGATGAATGAATAAAGAATGCATGAATGTGAAGCAACAATGACTTTATTGCCTCTGCAAGCGGTGATCGAGTGGGGAGGGGAGGGTGCTTAGCTTACAGGAAAGTAGAGTGAACCAAGGGCCGGGGGGTTTCATCAAGGAGAAACAAACAGAACTTTCACACCGTAGCCTGGCCAGTCATGAAACTGGTTTTCAAAGCTTCTCTGACGCGTACCGCGCCCTCCTGTGCTCTTCTAACTGCCCTGGTGTCCGGCTGCACGTAACCAGCAGCCAGGCGATTTGCCTCAACCTCCCACCCCGCCATAAACGTCTCCCCCTTACTCTCACAGATATTGTGGAGCACAAAGCAAGCAGTAATAACAGTGGGAATATTGGTTTCGCTGAGGTCTAAGCGAGTCAGTAAACTGCGCCAGCGCGCCTTTAAACATCCAAATGCACATTCTACCACCATTCTGCACTTGCTCAGCCTGTAGTTGAACAGCTCCTGACTACTGTCCAGGCTGCCTGTGTACGGCTTCATGAGCCATGGCATTAAGGGGTAGGCTGGGTCCCCAAGGATACATATAGGCATTTCAACATCCCCAACAGTTATTTTCTGGTCTGGGAATAAAGTCCCTTCCTAGTGCAGCTTTTGAAACAGACCAGAGTTCCTGAAGATGCGAGCGTCATGCACCTTTCCCGGCCATCCCACGTTGATGTTGGTGAAACGTCCCTTGTGATCCACCAGAGCTTGCAGCACTATCGAAAAGTACCCCTTGTGGTTTATGTACTTGGTGGCTTGGTGCTCCGGTGCCAAGATAGGGTTATGGGTTCCGTCTATGGCCCCACCACAGTTAAGGAATCCCATTGCAGCAAAGCCATCCACTATGACCTGCACATTTCCCAGGGTCACTACCCTTGATATCAGCAGATCTTTGATTGCGTGGGCTACTTGCATCACAGCAGCCCCCACAGTAGATTTGCCCACTCCAAATTGATTCCCAACTGACTGGTAGCTGTCTGGCGTTGCAAGCTTCCACAGGGCTATCGCCACTCGCTTCTCAACTGTGATGGCTGCTCTCATCTTGGTATTCATGCGCCTCAGGGCAGGGGAAAGCAAGTCACAAAGTTCCATGAAAGTGCCCTTACGCATGCGAAAGTTTCGTAGCCACTGGGAATCGTCCCAGACCTGCAACACTATGCGGTCCCACCAGTCTGTGCTTGTTTCCCGAGCCCAGAATCGGCATTCCACAGCATGAACCTGCCCCATTAGCACCATGATGCATGCATTGGCAGGGCCCATGCTTTCAGAGAAATCTGTGTCCATGTCCTGATCACTCACGTGACCGCACTGACGTCGCCTCCTCGCCCGGTATCGCTTTGCCGGGTTCCGGTGCTGCATATACTGCTGGATAATGCGTGTGGTGTTTAATGTGCTCCTAATTGCCAAAGTGAGCTGAGCGGCCTCCATGCTTACCTTGGTATGGCGTCCGCACAGAAAAAAGGCGCGGAACGATTGTCTGCCGTTGCTCTGACGGAGGGAGGGGCGACTGACGACACAGCTTACAGGGTTGGCTTCAGGGAGCTAAAATCAACAAAGGGGGTGTCTTTACATCAAGGAGTATTTCAGGCAGGACTTCACGGAGGGTTCCAATAATAAATGGTGCACCTAAGTTATCGTTTTTATTGGAACAAGAAGGTTAGCCTGGCCTCTGATTGATACATGGCTAGATTTACCTCGCTGTACCTTCTCTGTGAGTGACTGCAGTGTGACCTAGAGGAATGAGTCCCCTAGACAGGGGAGGTTCAATAGGACTGACTGCAGGACTACAGAGAATGACCTGGTCAAGTCACTCTAAATTAAGTCCCTGCGCCCATGTCTGTCCAGGCGCTCCCAGCCGACGTGGCCAGGAGCACCTCGGACGTGACGATGACAGCTACCAGTTGTACTGTACCATCTGCTGCCAGAAGGCAAGGGGTTGCTGCTACTGTGTAGCAAAGCCGTACCGCGTCTGCCGGCACCCAGGAGACATAGGGTGACGGTTACCTGAGCGGGCTCCATGCTTGCCGTGGTATGGCGTCTGCACAGGTAACTCAGGAAAAAAGGCGCGAAACGATTGTCTGCCCTTGCTTTCACGGAGGGAGGGAGGGAACGGGGGCCTGACGATATGTACCCAGAACCATCCGCGACAATGTTTTAGCCCCATCAGGCATTGGGATCTCAACCCAGAATTCCAATGGGCAGCGGAGACTGCGGGAACTGTGGGATAGCTATCCACAGTGCAACGCTCCGGAAGTCAACTCTAGCCTCGGTACTGTGGAAGCACTCCGCCGAGTTAATGCACTTAGGGGACACACACACTCGAATATATAAAACCGATTTCTAAAAAACCGACTTCTATAAATTCGACCTTATTCCGTAGTGTAGACATACCCTAAGCCTGGAGAGATGGGACATCCCAAAGTGACGTAGCAATCCAAAAGCCTCCTTGGTCCACCCTAATCCAGGTACAGACCTAGATATAGTGCAGAGAATGTCCTGGTGATGTTAAAGGACAATCTCCTAGCTATAGGTGAAGATCAGATGTCCATACAGATATTGATAGATCTATCAACTGCCTTCATTACCAGTGATCCTGAGGTGTTGATGAAGCTTCTGGAGGGCTGTAGTGGGACATGAGAGGGTCATTCCTGGGTGGCTCTGTTCCTTCCTTGCTGAGCCTTCCCAGGGGTTGGTTTTGGATGGTGCTATAAGGAGCGTTAATGAAGAGGTATGGCCTGCAATATGTTGATGACACAGCTTTCTCTCTCATCTAATCCAGCCAGTGCTGTTGAATGCTTTATCCAGTGGCTGGGTGAAATTGGGGCATGAATGAGAACTAACTGGTTGAAGCTTAATCCTGGGTAGGACTGAGGTATTAGTAGTAATTTTAGGAAAGCAAATGGAAGATATAGCCAAAATACCACCTTCTCCTCTTCCTGAGGGTGTGTGCCCATCATTGCTTACTAGAACTTTCAATCTGGCATCCTCAGATGCTATTGGATAATAGGTAATAGTAGAAGTGACCTGGAAGACGTTTTTTTTTTTCATCTTCGTCTTGTCCGGAGAGTGTAACCTCCTTCTTTGGATGCAGATCCTCACTACCATTAAATCCAGCCATGCCTTTGTTGTTTTTATAATGAAATGGACACAGATTGCACAGCCTCACTTACTAAACTGTACATCTCACTAGCAGCGCATAACGCTAGTGCAGCATAGTCAGCGCTGGCTGATTATTGGTTTTCAAGTGAATTGAAGGCCCTGGTTTTGTTCGATAAAACCCCCGAAGACTTGGAACTTTCCACAGCAGTGGCCAGCACAGGCATTCAAGCTAACGCTCCCTCAGCATAACAGAAAGAGGGCTGCCAGTAGGTCAGCTTCCATGAATGGCCCTCAACTTTGGAGTTTACTCCCCACCTGCGTCTGAAATAATCCAGATTTTTGCCTACAGAATATGCCTTGCAGCATAACTATTTACTTGTGGAGGAAGGAGCATAAGGACTGGTGATTGTTAACATGGCTATAGTATTGCTCAGGTCTGATTTCATCACTGATTTTTTTGTTTGGGACACTAATCTTATCTTTTTTGCTGCTTTATTTTTAATTTATGACAAAAGGATATATCTGTTGGGAATGGACCTTTTTTTATATACAACACAACATCTTCTAATGATGATACCCAGGGATTCTTCTGAATAGAACAATGTTTCAGTGCACCTTTGTGACAAAGAAAGAAAATGAAATGAATGTACCTTTGCTGCAGCATCTACTCCTTGGAGCTGAACTTCACAAAAATGGTGCAACTGCTCTGCCTAACATTGCACTTTAAAAATATAAACTTTAAACTATAACAACATACCGCAATATTTTGTTTTGACACACAGCATAATTCTTTCTGCATCACTGTTGTTCTTTTTTATACCTGCAACACCAAATATCTTTACCAGAGCCTTCCCTTTTCTTTTCCACTTTCAGGAGACCCTACCGTATTTGCTTTGCTTTTGTCAGGAAATTTCCAGTCTTACATCTGCTAAGGTTAATAAATCTCACTGTGTCTCTTCTGCTCTTTATTTCTCTCTCTCTCTCTCTGCTCATGCATGTTCTCAGAGCAGTGTCATTATTATTTATGACATTACTAACACTCTTGCCTGTTCAGACATTTTATGACTTGTGGCCACATTCCAAAGCCCAATGTTAAGGGTTTAATGGCTCTGGCTGAAAACATTAGAGAAATGACCCACGCCTCAGCCTAAAATTTTAATCATTTTCTGCTTTATGTGCGAGGGCTTTCGCCCCAGGGTTTGCCAGGTTACAGTTCACTGCTAAGCGCTGGGATCTTCAGCAACCCTTCGCCCAAGGGAGGCCTCACCAAAATGCCTAGCAGGGCACTCCACGGCCCAAAGGTGCACTCTGAACAATAACAACCTGGATTTCAGCCAATTCTCCCTTATTTTGGCTAGCTCCTTCAGCACCGAAAGAGTTAAAATACCTGACTCATGTCACCAGGAAAAACAAAGACTTGGCAGATAAATCTATTAAGGTAGAAAGGGAGTAGCTGACTGGAGGGTTGCGAACCTGCTTTTCTCATTCCCTGTGCCTCCTTACTGAAGTGAATTTGCTAATCTGCTTGCAACCAGTCTTCCTTAGATGATATAAACACCCCATAAACCTTTGTGTCCATTTCCTTGGGTCCTCTTATGAAGTGCTGGGGGTGGGGTGGGGTGGGGTGGGGTGGAGGAGATTGGTGTCTTCTTTGAAGTGCCAGAGGAACTGGCACAAAGGATTCTGAGGTGAATCTGCATGTGTGTGTTAGTTACTTACATTTTCAAAACTGGTTACTAGATAATCAAAAATACAAACAGCTTAAATGGGGAACACAAGGAAACTGCAGAAAAGGTCCCCAATTTCACACTTTCAATGCCACATGGCCATTTAAATGTATGGTCTGGAGCCACAGTCAGCATCAGTGTTTTCAACCACAGTTTTTTAAAAAACGGGCACTGAATATC